TTCATGTTTGCTGGAATTTACATAGGCACTTCATGTTGTTTCTTAAAAATTCACATGAGATAAAGTAGTCGAGAGACGTGGAAATAAGGGTATCGTTTCTGAGATTTGTACCTTATTTGCAAGATAGAAGACCCCTAAGTCATTGCTTTTTAAACAAGTAGCACCTGTGATGACTTGATTAAAAAAATACACAATGCAATGTGTTAAGGAATTAGCGGGATGAGAAAAATCTCTGATGGTACAAAAATAGTTAAGGAAATACCATAGAAGGGGTATTGAGTGAAAATCCAAGAAACTATCGGAGTGGCAGTGTAGTTTGCTAATCTTCAACTATATAGTAAGTCTCTTTTGGGGAGGGGGGAGTATTAAACAATTTTGGGTACTTGTGTTATATGCACTTGTGTTATATCCAAAAGTATTTGCGTTTGTGCTTAGTTCAAAGTTTTCCTTTTTATTCACTTTGTTCATATCCTTTGATTTTGGGACCAACTTGGGTTTTAGCACTGATTATTTACTTTGAAATTGATTAGGTTTCTTTCATGGTTTTTAAGAATATATTTTAATATTTCAGGGCACCTCGATGGGCAAGTGTGAACTTAGGAATATTCATTTGCCTGCAATGTTCAGGAATTCACCGGAGTCTTGGAGTACATATATCACAGGTTTATATACATCTCTTTTTCTGTTTCAGTGTTCAAATCGATAATTGGCTAAGCCTTCTGATTTTGCTGCTAGGTGAGATCCACAACTTTGGATACTTGGTTGCCCGATCAAGTTTCTTTTATGCAATGTAAGAAACTACAAAATTTGGTTCTATATTTCTGAGTGAAATTCTTTTTTAAGCATATTATGAGATAGTAAATAGTTAGATACTGTGAGTAACTCGGTTGCCTTTTCAGAACAAGTGAATTAACTAGTTATGTCAGAAAGGTTAGATGTTGGTCTGTCAAAATTGTATTAGTAAATCATGTAAGTGGTATGGAACATTCCATATATATGTATGCAGATATATCATTTATATGAGATTAGGTAACATCCATTTAATTTGTTGGTGAAACTAGATACTCAGAGAAGATAGGATAATTGTTAGAAAAAAATACTGGGCTCTTGAATTCTCTTGCAGCTGAATTCATTTAGTACTTTGGTTGTCTGCAGAATGTGTACCTAGCTCATCTATTGATTTGTTGTATATTATGCAGTAATGGGTAATGCGAGGTCAAATAAGCACTGGGAGGCAGAGTTACCTCCAAATTTTGACAGAAATGGATATGGAATCGAGAGATTTATTCGTTCGAAGTGAGTTCAAGCTTTTAAGGAATTACTGTGAACAACATTGCTTGTTTGTATAAGCTTAAATTTCCATCTAATTTACCATATTTTGATGCTATCAACTTGCTTAAAATCTTCCAGGTATGTGGAGAAAAGATGGGCTTCAAAGGGTGAACTACTACCAGCTTCAAAGTCAGCTGAAATAATCTTTAACCGGAATGAGTCACCAGCTGCTGGGGCCAAGAGTGCTATTCAGAAGAATAGGAGATTGTCTCTTGAGGAAAGCATTTTTGTGAAACATATGAACCATGTTCCGCCTCCGATAAGATCTCCGACACCAGGATCTCAGGAGGTATTCATGTTTAATCTCAAGTTCAATCCTTGATAAAGAATTTTCTTGCACTGATACCTATACATTGGATCTTTTAAAGAACTAATCACATGCAATTTTGTTGAGAAGGTAAGGGAGACTTTTATATGGTTTACCCTGCATATGGGTGGCCATTTACACTTTACCTAGTTTACTGTTAGATACTGTGATCAAAATGATATCTTATTGAATTCAATGTCCTCTTTGTGAAATATTTTTTCCATAATATTCTCTTAGTGCTCTACTCAAAAGATTTGTTTGCCTCCCAATATTTACTACATCACAAAAAGCCGATAAAAGTTTATCTTTTGTAATTCAGCTGTCTCCTGATTTGAAAAACAAGCTTTCACCTCTACCAGTAAGGAGGACATCTGCATCATTTGATTTTGACAACTCCAGAATGAAGAACAATGGTTCTGTTGACCATTTTGGCTTGTTTTCCGCCCCTAATGCTAAACAGGAATTCTCAACTACACCTCCTAGCTGGATAACGTTCGATTGTAAGACGGAAATACTTTTATTGCACATTTTTTGTTCAATATCCTGGCACACTTCGTATTGGAACTAATAAGATGGATTATAAAATTATTAAATCAATATTCATGATTGCAGGAGAAGGCTTATGAGGTATGTTTGTAGATTGTTGAGCTAGCTCTTTGTGTAGATGCCACAGCATTGTAGTTGAAGGTCTTGTAATGTTGCATGAACTTTGAGCTGCATTGATCTGGTGTGTACTTCTCTTTTCCAACTATTACAATGTTGATTTGATGTTTTTCTTTGTTTTCATTCTCAGATGATCCTTATATTTTTATATATTTTTCTGAAATCATGAGATTTGTCATGGTCTGTGTCTGTAGAACTTCCTCAAATAGTTGAACTAAGCTCAAAGTGCATCCTTATACAATACAATGCTTCCATCATTTGAGATAACCAGTTTTGCATGTTGATAAACATTTGAGATAACCATGCTTCCAACTTTCTTAGTTTTAGTGCAAGAGATTGGTCTCACGTGCATAATTTGATACATGGCTTATATATGAAAACAATTTATATTGAAGATTATGTTTCCTCACAGGTTTGATAACAACGTTTGCAATCAAACACACTGCAGCAGGATATAAATTCTGTGCACGTTTGCACTACTTTGGTGTTGATGTATCACTCAGCCTATGGTCGTTCATAAAATGGTTTGATCAGTACTGTAGTTTCTGTCACTTTTTCCTTACAGCCATTGATTGAGGTTATGAAAAGACCGAAGTAAATAACAGTTCTTTTCTTATCAGTGTCAGTTCCAGAGTCTGTGACCGGAGATGCTGTCATATGCCCCAGCCTAATTTTGGTCTTTTCTAGTGCACCCTTTTCTTTAATTCATCAGTGAACATACATAGCAATCTTAACTTTCTTCATTGGATTCTGGGTTGCTTATCAATGGTTCATATGGCCAGAAGCTTTATCTTAGTTGCCTTGAAACTGAAAATCTTGCAGTGCCATTACCGTGCAGGCTTTAATCTTTCTAAGCAGGTAAGGAAATATAATGGTTTAACAATAGTTAAAATTACATTAGTTTAAATAGCTTTATAATAAGTGGTGAATAATAATTTTATAATTACCATACACATAATGTTTCATATTGATTGTGTCTTTCTTGACTCTGAATAGATAACAAATATAAAACTTTTCGTTGCTTGGACTGAATTGTATTAGTTATTCAAAAAAAATTGATAATATAATAAATGGAAGATAAAATCATAATATTTACTATGGTCTCTTTTAAACGTAAAAAATACAATTGAAAAAGTTTTTCTATTTCCTAATTACATATTATAACTTTCTTAAAAAAAATCACAATTTTAGTTAGAGTTTTCGGCTTAGAAAGGTGGTATGATCGTGAGCAATTGGTAATAGAAGAACCTAATTTTTAAAGCGTGAATATTAACGTCGTAATAAATAAGCCTTTAATATGGTGAAAATAATTTAATGATATTTTAAAAAATCAAAGCTGAATAAAATATCTAATATAAATAAAAAATAGGTAACTTTTTCTCCCTTTACATATTTCCATCAGAACATAAAAATATATCAATGGGTGCAAAATCTTCACGGTGAGGCTGCTCGCATTGTAGTTTGCCCTCCGCAAAATCAAAATCTGTGAGTATGAACCTCTCTATCTCTCTTAACGTATAAAGGCGGGAAACACAGAATTTCTCCCTCGGCTATCAAACTCACCACCGCAATACGTAGCTTCAGACTCTACCGCACTCTCTCTCCCTCCTTCGTCTTCTTCAATGCTTTCAGAAATTCACTTTCTAAATTTGCGGTAGCTTCAATTTCTTCTGTTGAGAGGCCATCTCCTCTTTGTGCGAAGCTCAACTCGGTATGGTTCGTATTTTCTCTTTCGTTCGCCTCAGAAATTGAACTCGCGTATTAATAACTTCTTAGTTGTCACATTAATTAAGTTTCAGATTTCGATTGTTGACAACTGCATCCAGCGTTTTCAGAGCTAGACTTCCAATTCTGTATTGCGCAATTCTATTGTCAGTTAGTTAGCTCTGAGTTTTCCTTTTCTTGTTTGATTCCAAGAAAAATGGAGAAACTCAGGCCAGCGTGGGCTGTCAAGGCAATCATCGTCATCCTTTTCACTTCCATTCTTTTCCGATGCGTCTGCGGCGAGAATCATACCGTCGGCGGAGCCTCAGGCTGGGATCTCCGTTCCAACATCCAGGCCTGGTCGTCTACGACGACGTTTAATATCGGAGACNTATTTCCATAACACATTGTTTATGTTGAGTATATATTTCATGTTTGCTGGAATTTACATAGGCACTTCATGTTGTTTCTTAAAAATTCACATGAGATAAAGTAGTCGAGAGACGTGGAAATAAGGGTATCGTTTCTGAGATTTGTACCTTATTTGCAAGATAGAAGACCCCTAAGTCATTGCTTTTTAAACAAGTAGCACCTGTGATGACTTGATTAAAAAAATACACAATGCAATGTGTTAAGGAATTAGCGGGATGAGAAAAATCTCTGATGGTACAAAAATAGTTAAGGAAATACCATAGAAGGGGTATTGAGTGAAAATCCAAGAAACTATCGGAGTGGCAGTGTAGTTTGCTAATCTTCAACTATATAGTAAGTCTCTTTTGGGGAGGGGGGAGTATTAAACAATTTTGGGTACTTGTGTTATATGCACTTGTGTTATATCCAAAAGTATTTGCGTTTGTGCTTAGTTCAAAGTTTTCCTTTTTATTCACTTTGTTCATATCCTTTGATTTTGGGACCAACTTGGGTTTTAGCACTGATTATTTACTTTGAAATTGATTAGGTTTCTTTCATGGTTTTTAAGAATATATTTTAATATTTCAGGGCACCTCGATGGGCAAGTGTGAACTTAGGAATATTCATTTGCCTGCAATGTTCAGGAATTCACCGGAGTCTTGGAGTACATATATCACAGGTTTATATACATCTCTTTTTCTGTTTCAGTGTTCAAATCGATAATTGGCTAAGCCTTCTGATTTTGCTGCTAGGTGAGATCCACAACTTTGGATACTTGGTTGCCCGATCAAGTTTCTTTTATGCAATGTAAGAAACTACAAAATTTGGTTCTATATTTCTGAGTGAAATTCTTTTTTAAGCATATTATGAGATAGTAAATAGTTAGATACTGTGAGTAACTCGGTTGCCTTTTCAGAACAAGTGAATTAACTAGTTATGTCAGAAAGGTTAGATGTTGGTCTGTCAAAATTGTATTAGTAAATCATGTAAGTGGTATGGAACATTCCATATATATGTATGCAGATATATCATTTATATGAGATTAGGTAACATCCATTTAATTTGTTGGTGAAACTAGATACTCAGAGAAGATAGGATAATTGTTAGAAAAAAATACTGGGCTCTTGAATTCTCTTGCAGCTGAATTCATTTAGTACTTCGGTTGTCTGCAGAATGTGTACCTAGCTCATCTATTGATTTGTTGTATATTATGCAGTAATGGGTAATGCGAGGTCAAATAAGCACTGGGAGGCAGAGTTACCTCCAAATTTTGACAGAAATGGATATGGAATCGAGAGATTTATTCGTTCGAAGTGAGTTCAAGCTTTTAAGGAATTACTGTGAACAACATTGCTTGTTTGTATAAGCTTAAATTTCCATCTAATTTACCATATTTTGATGCTATCAACTTGCTTAAAATCTTCCAGGTATGTGGAGAAAAGATGGGCTTCAAAGGGTGAACTACTACCAGCTTCAAAGTCAGCTGAAATAATCTTTAACCGGAATGAGTCACCAGCTGCTGGGGCCAAGAGTGCTATTCAGAAGAATAGGAGATTGTCTCTTGAGGAAAGCATTTTTGTGAAACATATGAACCATGTTCCGCCTCCGATAAGATCTCCGACACCAGGATCTCAGGAGGTATTCATGTTTAATCTCAAGTTCAATCCTTGATAAAGAATTTTCTTGCACTGATACCTATACATTGGATCTTTTAAAGAACTAATCACATGCAATTTTGTTGAGAAGGTAAGGGAGACTTTTATATGGTTTACCCTGCATATGGGTGGCCATTTACACTTTACCTAGTTTACTGTTAGATACTGTGATCAAAATGATATCTTATTGAATTCAATGTCCTCTTTGTGAAATATTTTTTCCATAATATTCTCTTAGTGCTCTACTCAAAAGATTTGTTTGCCTCCCAATATTTACTACATCACAAAAAGCCGATAAAAGTTTATCTTTTGTAATTCAGCTGTCTCCTGATTTGAAAAACAAGCTTTCACCTCTACCAGTAAGGAGGACATCTGCATCATTTGATTTTGACAACTCCAGAATGAAGAACAATGGTTCTGTTGACCATTTTGGCTTGTTTTCCGCCCCTAATGCTAAACAGGAATTCTCAACTACACCTCCTAGCTGGATAACGTTCGATTGTAAGACGGAAATACTTTTATTGCACATTTTTTGTTCAATATCCTGGCACACTTCGTATTGGAACTAATAAGATGGATTATAAAATTATTAAATCAATATTCATGATTGCAGGAGAAGGCTTATGAGGTATGTTTGTAGATTGTTGAGCTAGCTCTTTGTGTAGATGCCACAGCATTGTAGTTGAAGGTCTTGTAATGTTGCATGAACTTTGAGCTGCATTGATCTGGTGTGTACTTCTCTTTTCCAACTATTACAATGTTGATTTGATGTTTTTCTTTGTTTTCATTCTCAGATGATCCTTATATTTTTATATATTTTTCTGAAATCATGAGATTTGTCATGGTCTGTGTCTGTAGAACTTCCTCAAATAGTTGAACTAAGCTCAAAGTGCATCCTTATACAATACAATGCTTCCATCATTTGAGATAACCAGTTTTGCATGTTGATAAACATTTGAGATAACCATGCTTCCAACTTTCTTAGTTTTAGTGCAAGAGATTGGTCTCACGTGCATAATTTGATACATGGCTTATATATGAAAACAATTTATATTGAAGATTATGTTTCCTCACAGGTTTGATAACAACGTTTGCAATCAAACACACTGCAGCAGGATATAAATTCTGTGCACGTTTGCACTACTTTGGTGTTGATGTATCACTCAGCCTATGGTCGTTCATAAAATGGTTTGATCAGTACTGTAGTTTCTGTCACTTTTTCCTTACAGCCATTGATTGAGGTTATGAAAAGACCGAAGTAAATAACAGTTCTTTTCTTATCAGTGTCAGTTCCAGAGTCTGTGACCGGAGATGCTGTCATATGCCCCAGCCTAATTTTGGTCTTTTCTAGTGCACCCTTTTCTTTAATTCATCAGTGAACATACATAGCAATCTTAACTTTCTTCATTGGATTCTGGGTTGCTTATCAATGGTTCATATGGCCAGAAGCTTTATCTTAGTTGCCTTGAAACTGAAAATCTTGCAGTGCCATTACCGTGCAGGCTTTAATCTTTCTAAGCAGGTAAGGAAATATAATGGTTTAACAATAGTTAAAATTACATTAGTTTAAATAGCTTTATAATAAGTGGTGAATAATAATTTTATAATTACCATACACATAATGTTTCATATTGATTGTGTCTTTCTTGACTCTGAATAGATAACAAATATAAAACTTTTCGTTGCTTGGACTGAATTGTATTAGTTATTCAAAAAAAATTGATAATATAATAAATGGAAGATAAAATCATAATATTTACTATGGTCTCTTTTAAACGTAAAAAATACAATTGAAAAAGTTTTTCTATTTCCTAATTACATATTATAACTTTCTTAAAAAAAATCACAATTTTAGTTAGAGTTTTCGGCTTAGAAAGGTGGTATGATCGTGAGCAATTGGTAATAGAAGAACCTAATTTTTAAAGCGTGAATATTAACGTCGTAATAAATAAGCCTTTAATATGGTGAAAATAATTTAATGATATTTTAAAAAATCAAAGCTGAATAAAATATCTAATATAAATAAAAAATAGGTAACTTTTTCTCCCTTTACATATTTCCATCAGAACATAAAAATATATCAATGGGTGCAAAATCTTCACGGTGAGGCTGCTCGCATTGTAGTTTGCCCTCCGCAAAATCAAAATCTGTGAGTATGAACCTCTCTATCTCTCTTAACGTATAAAGGCGGGAAACACAGAATTTCTCCCTCGGCTATCAAACTCACCACCGCAATACGTAGCTTCAGACTCTACCGCACTCTCTCTCCCTCCTTCGTCTTCTTCAATGCTTTCAGAAATTCACTTTCTAAATTTGCGGTAGCTTCAATTTCTTCTGTTGAGAGGCCATCTCCTCTTTGTGCGAAGCTCAACTCGGTATGGTTCGTATTTTCTCTTTCGTTCGCCTCAGAAATTGAACTCGCGTATTAATAACTTCTTAGTTGTCACATTAATTAAGTTTCAGATTTCGATTGTTGACAACTGCATCCAGCGTTTTCAGAGCTAGACTTCCAATTCTGTATTGCGCAATTCTATTGTCAGTTAGTTAGCTCTGAGTTTTCCTTTTCTTGTTTGATTCCAAGAAAAATGGAGAAACTCAGGCCAGCGTGGGCTGTCAAGGCAATCATCGTCATCCTTTTCACTTCCATTCTTTTCCGATGCGTCTGCGGCGAGAATCATACCGTCGGCGGAGCCTCAGGCTGGGATCTCCGTTCCAACATCCAGGCCTGGTCGTCTACGACGACGTTTAATATCGGAGACGATCTCGGTACGTATCCATATGTATGTTCATCTTCATTAATCCATGCAAACGTGCACCACACACACACACACACATATATATCTTCATCTTAATTAATCCATTCATGCATGCACTCACGCACGAAAGCATTTATCTCTTACGAGAAAATAATTTCTGCCAAGCATAACGTGTTCTTGAAACCTTCGAGTTTCAGATGGTTTAAATCTATCAGGTGTAATGTAATTAACAGCAGAGTAATAGTTAATTAGTTTAAGTTCTATTTTGAATGTTTTTTATCAGAATCGTTGAAAACAAACACGTTTTCTTGTGTACGTTTTCGTTTATCTGGAAGCTAGTTTAGCGAAGTGAAACGAAAACGAAGAAGCAGCCAAGGGCATTTTCGGCATAACGGATTATATATATTTTTATTAATGGTTTAATTAAAATTTCTTTTGCTCTTTATTTTTCTAATACAATTTTGATTTATTTTTCAGTTTTTTATCTTTACATTTTAGAATATATTTTTATCTAATTCTTCATTTTTTTGTGTATTTTTTAAGTTTTTATTACTTAAATTATTTTTGTGGTATTTTCAATACATATGTGAGATTTAAAGTTTAATTACACAAAAAGTAAAAATAAAACATATATGAGATTAAAGATTCAGTTTATGAATCTTGAAAATAAGGAAATAAATTCAGAAACAAAAAATAGAGAAACAAAAATGATATTTTAAAATATCAAAGCTGAACAGAATTTGAAATAATATTAAACTGTGAGCAAACTAAAATAATAAAAGTTTTGGTGTGGTTTGGTTGGCAGTATTCTCGTACACGCCAGTTCACGATGTGGTGGAGGTAAACCAACTAGGTTACGACACGTGTACGATAACCAACGCCCTTGCCACGTATGATAATGGGGAAACCGTGATTCACTTAGGCGGAGCGGGAACGCGATACTTCGTGTGTGGCAGAATGGGCCACTGTCAACAGGGCCTTAAACTCCAGGTCCAAGTTCTAGCCCAGTCCAACAACGGAAGCAACGACGATCAAAACCAAGGCCCCGGCAACACCACCTCTTCTCCTCCGCCTCCTTCTCCTCCGCAGCCTCGTTCTCCTCCGCGGCCTCCTTCTCCCCCGCCTCACGGTGTCGAACAACCTCCTGCAGATGAGCCCTCACCCTGCGACTGTTCCGGTGCAGACGAGCGTTTTGGGGTGGTGCCGTTAATTACGCTCGTAATCGTGCTCGCTTTCGCCCGCGCTCCTTCTTCGCTTTTCCACGCCTCCGTTTTCATCTCATGCGTTTAAATTGCTAGCTTGCTGCATTTTAGTTTTACCTCGGCCTATTACTCAGGGCATATATGAATGTGTCGGTTTGAAATTGAATAATGAGTATGCTTTGTGCGTATTCAATGTGAATATTTCTCGGGATGCATGGTATGTACTTTCCTTTCTTGTAAAGTACTAGTTGCAGCTCTGCAGGCATATTCAAACTGAATATTTTCTGTGGTTATAAATTTGTTTTTTCACTTGGTTAATGTTCTGTCTGTGAATAATAAACGGGATGTATGTAAATTAGATAAGTAAAAAAGGGTTTTGAAAATTGACGTCATCTTTAATTCCAACAATAGTGAAATTATTAATTACTGATTACATTAATTAATCTTAGTTATGTTAATACACACGCATATATATCATATTTTATATAATTTAACAATTTATAATAAATTTAAAAGTTATAGAATAAAATTTTAATTTGTAAATTAATAAAATTTATGATAACGTAATTTTAATATTTAAAATACATTTTTCATTAACTATACATATTCATTAAGAAAAAAGGAACAGAATAACTCGATAAACAAAATTTTAAAAATATAAAATATAAAATTTTGGATTTAGTTAACTAGGTCCCTAGATTTTTAATTGCATTTCCTATCTCAATGACGAAGGTGACTATTACTAATGCTATATCAACATGTATTATTAGAGACAATATGTATTATTAGAAGCAGGGAAATGTTATTTTCTTTCCACAATCTTTGAAAGGTCTTTAACAAAAACTGAACCTTGCTAATCCAAGGCCTAACTGTTGTGGGTTGGGCCTTTAACACCAGCAATTTCTTATCGCTTTTGTCTACAAGATGCCAAGGCATTATTGGTGTTGCGTGATGATCGGGCGGCGTCCATATTACCATATTGCTTAGCCCTTTAGAATACCATCATTAAATTCCAAACCCAGCAAAAAGGAAGGTCGAAGTTTCAAATAATTGACGACGATGATAATGCTGATTGTTTGTAATTAAATTGTCATAGGTACTGATATTTAGACTTTGTATGAATACATGGATGGTGTCCTCGTGGACCTACAGAAGGAATAATAGTAGCCGCTAGAAGTTACAAGTCTACATCAGGGCCATTTTTGAGTGCTGCTTCTTCAAGCTAAATGCAAATTAGCAGCTTTCAATACATTCTTAATCTACGGCCATTTCTTTTGTAAACTAAAATTAGTTTATTCATAGATTCATTTTAAGTAAGATATATATTTATTTCTTTTTGTGAAAATGTTTGTCCAGATTCTTCTCTGGGTCCACAGCTTCCTTGTGCCATGACAACGTGTACAAGGATTTTCTTGGTGGTTTCCATTAGTGGCTAATGAGAAAAGGACCAGTCTTTGATAATGGCAAACAGTGGGTCTTATTCTCAGGTCCTGTAGTTTATACTCTCTTCGTAATCAATATTTACACATAATTATTACCATAAGCAGCGGTTATGCATTGTCACACGCGTCAGTAGTGCCAGTCACTGATAATTCAAATTTCTACAAGAAGAAAATAACCCTACTTGTTGAATTATACTTGACCACTTTGATGGCAGCAGAATTCATTGACAAAAGTAGAAAGCGTCAAAATAGAAGGAGAAGGCAGTATTATAATAAAAAACTGAACTTTCCCAAATGAAGCTAAAGGTATTTTGCAGGCAGAAGATGGGGGTCCGTGTCTGTGGTTTGGTTTGGTTTGGTTTCTCACAAATAAAAAGACTCTCACAACTTGGATCCACTTACATTTTCAATTGTACAAAGGTCCTACTTCTTTATGAAGTTCTGCACTTATACTTCATGACACAACAATAGACATGGGGCTCTTTCTGCTTCAATTTTCACTGGCATGTAAGGGGGCAACGTGCTTTCCGACCTAAGGGTGTCATAATTAAAATGAAGGCTTAAAGAAACAGCAAGTCCCACTAGATCTATAATGATCTATACCATGCTGACAGATACTCACCATGTGCTTCCGTTCACCAAGTTTACTGCCATAATCCCATAATTTCATCCAAAACTAATTGTGCTTTTGTAGACTTTGACAGCATAACCAATCTGCTTAAGCCAACTTATCTCCATTGATGGTCACATGCAACCATGCACAGTTGAAAGGACAACTCACTCCTCACACTACATTCAATTTATCTTCTTTCATCTACTTCAATCCATGTACCCAAAAGAAAAATTAATAAAATAAAAGGCTCAGTTCCTTTCTTGCCCTATAATACGCCAAAGGGTCTGGTCTACCTATGTACACGAGCTGCTATATATCAACTCCTTGCATGATGAGTACGGTTGTCACTTGTTAATGTTAGGTGTATATGATTTGGTTCAAATGGTATGTATCCAAGTTTGTTCCCCCTTCCTTCTGTGTCGGTTCTCTTGTAATTATAAAAGTAAAAAGGGACAACCATTCAGCAAATAGAATCTACGACGTAGCCTTTTTATTTTTTAAAACCATGTTTATTCATCTGCCAAACTCAAACCCACTTTGATCCAACTCCACTCAGACCAACATAGTACTTTTTCGCTCACCAAGCATTTTGAAGCTGGATTAATTGGTAAATTATTAAGTCTGCATAAAATAGCAGAAATTGTACATTCGATATTAAACAATCGCCTCATAATGCTACCTAGGTCCAAACTACATAATCAATACAAACATTAGATGATATGAGAAAAACTAAACTTCTGAATAGTTTAGTAGAACATGTAGAGCAAAGATCTGGAGCAAAGAAAGAGCACAACAGATTGGGAGAAACCAACTTATGCCCACCATGTCACAAGAAACTTGACAAGGGAAAAAGTACACCATGTCTGATACTTGTCTTGGCTTCTTCACAGTCTCAGCAGCAAAAATATGTACACAGCAAGTCCTGCCAATGGAGAAGAAAGAGTCAACATACGGAAACCGACAATTCGAACTTGTATGTGGGATTTTTTTATATATATTACGTACTAATAATGTGGATTATAATTTTCCTACTCTTCAATCAAGTGTTTGGTAGGTGGAACAGTCTAATCAAAGCTAGATTCATTTAATTTCTCCAACCACTACTTATGTTTCGCCATGTGTTGAATGCCTAATGCTTCAAGAATATAATTAGATGCATAGATATATGCACCATAGAATGGCAGTGTCACTTTTTCAGTCACAAAAATACATATATTTGAGTATATAAGAAGCTCTACATAGTCCTTCCTGAGGTCATACCTCGTAGGAAAAAGGATAAAAAGTTCAACAGACATTTGATTATGTTTAATTTAGGTATAAAAAGATTCCATACGAAAGTGCTGTATTTAACTACTATTGCTAATCCAAACACTAATATGTGAACAGTTGTCATCTAGCATATGACAAGACTAACCGTTCTAAAAGCATAAGTGGTTTGGCGAAAAATTACTGAAGGGCTTAATAACAACAAATATGTTACATATACATATGATTACACACATATCCGACAGTGAAATTCTGCATAACACATGGATTTAGTAATGTGCTGCCGAATGCAGTGAGAACTTAAATAAGCATATGTGATAAGTACCTTCAAAATGGTCAACAAAGTTCCATAGATTCTCATCACTTGGCTAAATTTTCACTGTGACTGGTGAAAAAGAAAGAGAATAGCTAGCCACATCAGACACGGCGATTTACCATTTCCTTGAAACGCTGGATAGATTCCAGCCTCTGCAACTTCATTTGATGGTTGAATTTCTTAATGAAAGCTTCTGCCCTGCGATTCAGTTCCTCTAGACTCATGGATTTTTCCCTTCTCAAGGAAGCTCTATCGTTGAAAGTGTCTGACTTTTTGAGCTCCTTCTGAGCCCAAGCCACAGGGTCGTCATCATCATCACCTTCTCCATTGCGACGAAATGGCTCTGCCTTGGCAATCCTTGCGCCCCATGTGTCGCTCTTCTTCAGCTGTGGCCTCATCGTTTCCCCCTGTCCCTCCATGATAGCCTTCCACGTGGCTTCCAGCGTGTCATCACCACCGGAATCCGGCAATAGATAATCATTGGTGCAATTTTCTAGCAAAGGGTGGAGCACGATTCTGTCATAGGACAAATCATTCTCTTCAAGCACCTTTTGCTCTTGCTCTTGCTTTTGCTCTAGCTCTTGTTCTTCTTCAACCTCCTTTTCTTCTTCCTTGGGTTCATTTGTTTGGCTCTCTGGCTCGGTTGGGTGGCTGGCAGTGTCTGAAATGGTGGTTGCGTGCTTGGGATCAGAGGATGCAGAAGAATCAGAGAAGGGTTTGGGGTGGCTATTGCTTTTGGGGTGGAAGTTGGAGGAAGCTGCAATGATGACGATGATGAAGTTGACAATGATGTAAAGGAATGGGAGTGTTAGCCGGCTTCTAACTGAGACCCAAAACTGAGGAAGAGTGGAGAGAAGAAGGTGGAATGTGTATGGGACTACTGTCACTTTAAACAAAACAAGAGTGGAGACAACCCCCATGGACATGAGCACAAGCTTTGCAGCCCACATGGCTGTTTCAAATCTGTTTGACTTGAGAGAAGATGGTTTTTGAAAAAGATCCATCGCTGACATGTTGCAGGCAGCACTACTAATAATCACTCTTCACAACAACACGCAGATTCAAAGAAACAAGGCAAAAGAAAGGACCCTTCTGCTTAGAAAAAAAAATGAGAAGAATAAGACCCAGAAACAAAAACTTCTAGGTGGGTGGGGGAATTTACCAACTAGTACATAGACATGAACAAGCACCAGTTCTTCAGAGGAAAAACAAAAGAAAGGAGCTTTTCTGAAACTGAGGTTTGTGTATGGAAACCAAATTCTGAAAGTTTTTCATCACGGAGAGGAAGCAAGATTTGTGGTGAATGACTGCAGATCCTTGAAAGGTGATGAAACAGAAGAGAAAGAAACAGAAAGAAAAAAGAAAAACTGAAGACAATGTATTGAGACGAAGCTGGCCAGAACTTGAGTCCACTCTAGTCTCTAGAGTACAAAGAAAGAAAGAAGGCTTTTAAAGAAAGAGAGCTTTCAAATTTCACTGTTTCAGGTGCTGTAGTTAGCAGCAGAACCAATAAAAATTCCATCAGTACTGGGTAGGCAGGGTGGTCATAGAGTGGTAGAGGACCACATGAATGAACCAAGCTGAGATTTTAAATGAACACCATCTATCTATGAATTCCCAACCATTTTTCATTCCCAACCAAATACACTGTCTGATGAATTCCCCACCGTCAGATTCTTCAAAAACAGTGAAAAGGGTATGAGAAAGATGATAACTTTTGCACTCTCACCTTCACTCATTGCTATATAGGAGGTGCCAGAGATAGAATAGAACCACCTAAACTTTAACTATTGTTTTATGAAAAAAAACAAAATGTTTGGATATATTTTCAGATTTGAAAAGTCAAGAAAAAGTAAAGGGTTGAATTTGGGTGGAAATGGTACATTTAGTATTAGTTAATTAACCATAATTAGGTTAGTTGTTAGCAAGGTTTATTTTATTTTAAGAAATGTAAGCAATATTTGAAGGTAAATTAAGTAATCTGAATTAAAGTGGTAGCTTCCTTGAGCGGCGGTGGCCACAATTTGCGGAGGTGGTGATTACAACTTTTGGCACCACTCAGATAAAGCTCCTCAACTAACCATAACACTACATGCTGCATGTTTACATCACAAGNATTGCAGGAGAAGGCTTATGAGGTATGTTTGTAGATTGTTGAGCTAGCTCTTTGTGTAGATGCCACAGCATTGTAGTTGAAGGTCTTGTAATGTTGCATGAACTTTGAGCTGCATTGATCTGGTGTGTACTTCTCTTTTCCAACTATTACAATGTTGATTTGATGTTTTTCTTTGTTTTCATTCTCAGATGATCCTTATATTTTTATATATTTTTCTGAAATCATGAGATTTGTCATGGTCTGTGTCTGTAGAACTTCCTCAAATAGTTGAACTAAGCTCAAAGTGCATCCTTATACAATACAATGCTTCCATCATTTGAGATAACCAGTTTTGCATGTTGATAAACATTTGAGATAACCATGCTTCCAACTTTCTTAGTTTTAGTGCAAGAGATTGGTCTCACGTGCATAATTTGATACATGGCTTATATATGAAAACAATTTATATTGAAGATTATGTTTCCTCACAGGTTTGATAACAACGTTTGCAATCAAACACACTGCAGCAGGATATAAATTCTGTGCACGTTTGCACTACTTTGGTGTTGATGTATCACTCAGCCTATGGTCGTTCATAAAATGGTTTGATCAGTACTGTAGTTTCTGTCACTTTTTCCTTACAGCCATTGATTGAGGTTATGAAAAGACCGAAGTAAATAACAGTTCTTTTCTTATCAGTGTCAGTTCCAGAGTCTGTGACCGGAGATGCTGTCATATGCCCCAGCCTAATTTTGGTCTTTTCTAGTGCACCCTTTTCTTTAATTCATCAGTGAACATACATAGCAATCTTAACTTTCTTCATTGGATTCTGGGTTGCTTATCAATGGTTCATATGGCCAGAAGCTTTATCTTAGTTGCCTTGAAACTGAAAATCTTGCAGTGCCATTACCGTGCAGGCTTTAATCTTTCTAAGCAGGTAAGGAAATATAATGGTTTAACAATAGTTAAAATTACATTAGTTTAAATAGCTTTATAATAAGTGGTGAATAATAATTTTATAATTACCATACACATAATGTTTCATATTGATTGTGTCTTTCTTGACTCTGAATAGATAACAAATATAAAACTTTTCGTTGCTTGGACTGAATTGTATTAGTTATTCAAAAAAAATTGATAATATAATAAATGGAAGATAAAATCATAATATTTACTATGGTCTCTTTTAAACGTAAAAAATACAATTGAAAAAGTTTTTCTATTTCCTAATTACATATTATAACTTTCTTAAAAAAAATCACAATTTTAGTTAGAGTTTTCGGCTTAGAAAGGTGGTATGATCGTGAGCAATTGGTAATAGAAGAACCTAATTTTTAAAGCGTGAATATTAACGTCGTAATAAATAAGCCTTTAATATGGTGAAAATAATTTAATGATATTTTAAAAAATCAAAGCTGAATAAAATATCTAATATAAATAAAAAATAGGTAACTTTTTCTCCCTTTACATATTTCCATCAGAACATAAAAATATATCAATGGGTGCAAAATCTTCACGGTGAGGCTGCTCGCATTGTAGTTTGCCCTCCGCAAAATCAAAATCTGTGAGTATGAACCTCTCTATCTCTCTTAACGTATAAAGGCGGGAAACACAGAATTTCTCCCTCGGCTATCAAACTCACCACCGCAATACGTAGCTTCAGACTCTACCGCACTCTCTCTCCCTCCTTCGTCTTCTTCAATGCTTTCAGAAATTCACTTTCTAAATTTGCGGTAGCTTCAATTTCTTCTGTTGAGAGGCCATCTCCTCTTTGTGCGAAGCTCAACTCGGTATGGTTCGTATTTTCTCTTTCGTTCGCCTCAGAAATTGAACTCGCGTATTAATAACTTCTTAGTTGTCACATTAATTAAGTTTCAGATTTCGATTGTTGACAACTGCATCCAGCGTTTTCAGAGCTAGACTTCCAATTCTGTATTGCGCAATTCTATTGTCAGTTAGTTAGCTCTGAGTTTTCCTTTTCTTGTTTGATTCCAAGAAAAATGGAGAAACTCAGGCCAGCGTGGGCTGTCAAGGCAATCATCGTCATCCTTTTCACTTCCATTCTTTTCCGATGCGTCTGCGGCGAGAATCATACCGTCGGCGGAGCCTCAGGCTGGGATCTCCGTTCCAACATCCAGGCCTGGTCGTCTACGACGACGTTTAATATCGGAGACGATCTCGGTACGTATCCATATGTATGTTCATCTTCATTAATCCATGCAAACGTGCACCACACACACACACACACATATATATCTTCATCTTAATTAATCCATTCATGCATGCACTCACGCACGAAAGCATTTATCTCTTACGAGAAAATAATTTCTGCCAAGCATAACGTGTTCTTGAAACCTTCGAGTTTCAGATGGTTTAAATCTATCAGGTGTAATGTAATTAACAGCAGAGTAATAGTTAATTAGTTTAAGTTCTATTTTGAATGTTTTTTATCAGAATCGTTGAAAACAAACACGTTTTCTTGTGTACGTTTTCGTTTATCTGGAAGCTAGTTTAGCGAAGTGAAACGAAAACGAAGAAGCAGCCAAGGGCATTTTCGGCATAACGGATTATATATATTTTTATTAATGGTTTAATTAAAATTTCTTTTGCTCTTTATTTTTCTAATACAATTTTGATTTATTTTTCAGTTTTTTATCTTTACATTTTAGAATATATTTTTATCTAATTCTTCATTTTTTTGTGTATTTTTTAAGTTTTTATTACTTAAATTATTTTTGTGGTATTTTCAATACATATGTGAGATTTAAAGTTTAATTACACAAAAAGTAAAAATAAAACATATATGAGATTAAAGATTCAGTTTATGAATCTTGAAAATAAGGAAATAAATTCAGAAACAAAAAATAGAGAAACAAAAATGATATTTTAAAATATCAAAGCTGAACAGAATTTGAAATAATATTAAACTGTGAGCAAACTAAAATAATAAAAGTTTTGGTGTGGTTTGGTTGGCAGTATTCTCGTACACGCCAGTTCACGATGTGGTGGAGGTAAACCAACTAGGTTACGACACGTGTACGATAACCAACGCCCTTGCCACGTATGATAATGGGGAAACCGTGATTCACTTAGGCGGAGCGGGAACGCGATACTTCGTGTGTGGCAGAATGGGCCACTGTCAACAGGGCCTTAAACTCCAGGTCCAAGTTCTAGCCCAGTCCAACAACGGAAGCAACGACGATCAAAACCAAGGCCCCGGCAACACCACCTCTTCTCCTCCGCCTCCTTCTCCTCCGCAGCCTCGTTCTCCTCCGCGGCCTCCTTCTCCCCCGCCTCACGGTGTCGAACAACCTCCTGCAGATGAGCCCTCACCCTGCGACTGTTCCGGTGCAGACGAGCGTTTTGGGGTGGTGCCGTTAATTACGCTCGTAATCGTGCTCGCTTTCGCCCGCGCTCCTTCTTCGCTTTTCCACGCCTCCGTTTTCATCTCATGCGTTTAAATTGCTAGCTTGCTGCATTTTAGTTTTACCTCGGCCTATTACTCAGGGCATATATGAATGTGTCGGTTTGAAATTGAATAATGAGTATGCTTTGTGCGTATTCAATGTGAATATTTCTCGGGATGCATGGTATGTACTTTCCTTTCTTGTAAAGTACTAGTTGCAGCTCTGCAGGCATATTCAAACTGAATATTTTCTGTGGTTATAAATTTGTTTTTTCACTTGGTTAATGTTCTGTCTGTGAATAATAAACGGGATGTATGTAAATTAGATAAGTAAAAAAGGGTTTTGAAAATTGACGTCATCTTTAATTCCAACAATAGTGAAATTATTAATTACTGATTACATTAATTAATCTTAGTTATGTTAATACACACGCATATATATCATATTTTATATAATTTAACAATTTATAATAAATTTAAAAGTTATAGAATAAAATTTTAATTTGTAAATTAATAAAATTTATGATAACGTAATTTTAATATTTAAAATACATTTTTCATTAACTATACATATTCATTAAGAAAAAAGGAACAGAATAACTCGATAAACAAAATTTTAAAAATATAAAATATAAAATTTTGGATTTAGTTAACTAGGTCCCTAGATTTTTAATTGCATTTCCTATCTCAATGACGAAGGTGACTATTACTAATGCTATATCAACATGTATTATTAGAGACAATATGTATTATTAGAAGCAGGGAAATGTTATTTTCTTTCCACAATCTTTGAAAGGTCTTTAACAAAAACTGAACCTTGCTAATCCAAGGCCTAACTGTTGTGGGTTGGGCCTTTAACACCAGCAATTTCTTATCGCTTTTGTCTACAAGATGCCAAGGCATTATTGGTGTTGCGTGATGATCGGGCGGCGTCCATATTACCATATTGCTTAGCCCTTTAGAATACCATCATTAAATTCCAAACCCAGCAAAAAGGAAGGTCGAAGTTTCAAATAATTGACGACGATGATAATGCTGATTGTTTGTAATTAAATTGTCATAGGTACTGATATTTAGACTTTGTATGAATACATGGATGGTGTCCTCGTGGACCTACAGAAGGAATAATAGTAGCCGCTAGAAGTTACAAGTCTACATCAGGGCCATTTTTGAGTGCTGCTTCTTCAAGCTAAATGCAAATTAGCAGCTTTCAATACATTCTTAATCTACGGCCATTTCTTTTGTAAACTAAAATTAGTTTATTCATAGATTCATTTTAAGTAAGATATATATTTATTTCTTTTTGTGAAAATGTTTGTCCAGATTCTTCTCTGGGTCCACAGCTTCCTTGTGCCATGACAACGTGTACAAGGATTTTCTTGGTGGTTTCCATTAGTGGCTAATGAGAAAAGGACCAGTCTTTGATAATGGCAAACAGTGGGTCTTATTCTCAGGTCCTGTAGTTTATACTCTCTTCGTAATCAATATTTACACATAATTATTACCATAAGCAGCGGTTATGCATTGTCACACGCGTCAGTAGTGCCAGTCACTGATAATTCAAATTTCTACAAGAAGAAAATAACCCTACTTGTTGAATTATACTTGACCACTTTGATGGCAGCAGAATTCATTGACAAAAGTAGAAAGCGTCAAAATAGAAGGAGAAGGCAGTATTATAATAAAAAACTGAACTTTCCCAAATGAAGCTAAAGGTATTTTGCAGGCAGAAGATGGGGGTCCGTGTCTGTGGTTTGGTTTGGTTTGGTTTCTCACAAATAAAAAGACTCTCACAACTTGGATCCACTTACATTTTCAATTGTACAAAGGTCCTACTTCTTTATGAAGTTCTGCACTTATACTTCATGACACAACAATAGACATGGGGCTCTTTCTGCTTCAATTTTCACTGGCATGTAAGGGGGCAACGTGCTTTCCGACCTAAGGGTGTCATAATTAAAATGAAGGCTTAAAGAAACAGCAAGTCCCACTAGATCTATAATGATCTATACCATGCTGACAGATACTCACCATGTGCTTCCGTTCACCAAGTTTACTGCCATAATCCCATAATTTCATCCAAAACTAATTGTGCTTTTGTAGACTTTGACAGCATAACCAATCTGCTTAAGCCAACTTATCTCCATTGATGGTCACATGCAACCATGCACAGTTGAAAGGACAACTCACTCCTCACACTACATTCAATTTATCTTCTTTCATCTACTTCAATCCATGTACCCAAAAGAAAAATTAATAAAATAAAAGGCTCAGTTCCTTTCTTGCCCTATAATACGCCAAAGGGTCTGGTCTACCTATGTACACGAGCTGCTATATATCAACTCCTTGCATGATGAGTACGGTTGTCACTTGTTAATGTTAGGTGTATATGATTTGGTTCAAATGGTATGTATCCAAGTTTGTTCCCCCTTCCTTCTGTGTCGGTTCTCTTGTAATTATAAAAGTAAAAAGGGACAACCATTCAGCAAATAGAATCTACGACGTAGCCTTTTTATTTTTTAAAACCATGTTTATTCATCTGCCAAACTCAAACCCACTTTGATCCAACTCCACTCAGACCAACATAGTACTTTTTCGCTCACCAAGCATTTTGAAGCTGGATTAATTGGTAAATTATTAAGTCTGCATAAAATAGCAGAAATTGTACATTCGATATTAAACAATCGCCTCATAATGCTACCTAGGTCCAAACTACATAATCAATACAAACATTAGATGATATGAGAAAAACTAAACTTCTGAATAGTTTAGTAGAACATGTAGAGCAAAGATCTGGAGCAAAGAAAGAGCACAACAGATTGGGAGAAACCAACTTATGCCCACCATGTCACAAGAAACTTGACAAGGGAAAAAGTACACCATGTCTGATACTTGTCTTGGCTTCTTCACAGTCTCAGCAGCAAAAATATGTACACAGCAAGTCCTGCCAATGGAGAAGAAAGAGTCAACATACGGAAACCGACAATTCGAACTTGTATGTGGGATTTTTTTATATATATTACGTACTAATAATGTGGATTATAATTTTCCTACTCTTCAATCAAGTGTTTGGTAGGTGGAACAGTCTAATCAAAGCTAGATTCATTTAATTTCTCCAACCACTACTTATGTTTCGCCATGTGTTGAATGCCTAATGCTTCAAGAATATAATTAGATGCATAGATATACGCACCATAGAATGGCAGTGTCACTTTTTCAGTCACAAAAATACATATATTTGAGTATATAAGAAGCTCTACATAGTCCTTCCTGAGGTCATACCTCGTAGGAAAAAGGATAAAAAGTTCAACAGACATTTGATTATGTTTAATTTAGGTATAAAAAGATTCCATACGAAAGTGCTGTATTTAACTACTATTGCTAATCCAAACACTAATATGTGAACAGTTGTCATCTAGCATATGACAAGACTAACCGTTCTAAAAGCATAAGTGGTTTGGCGAAAAATTACTGAAGGGCTTAATAACAACAAATATGTTACATATACATATGATTACACACATATCCGACAGTGAAATTCTGCATAACACATGGATTTAGTAATGTGCTGCCGAATGCAGTGAGAACTTAAATAAGCATATGTGATAAGTACCTTCAAAATGGTCAACAAAGTTCCATAGATTCTCATCACTTGGCTAAATTTTCACTGTGACTGGTGAAAAAGAAAGAGAATAGCTAGCCACATCAGACACGGCGATTTACCATTTCCTTGAAACGCTGGATAGATTCCAGCCTCTGCAACTTCATTTGATGGTTGAATTTCTTAATGAAAGCTTCTGCCCTGCGATTCAGTTCCTCTAGACTCATGGATTTTTCCCTTCTCAAGGAAGCTCTATCGTTGAAAGTGTCTGACTTTTTGAGCTCCTTCTGAGCCCAAGCCACAGGGTCGTCATCATCATCACCTTCTCCATTGCGACGAAATGGCTCTGCCTTGGCAATCCTTGCGCCCCATGTGTCGCTCTTCTTCAGCTGTGGCCTCATCGTTTCCCCCTGTCCCTCCATGATAGCCTTCCACGTGGCTTCCAGCGTGTCATCACCACCGGAATCCGGCAATAGATAATCATTGGTGCAATTTTCTAGCAAAGGGTGGAGCACGATTCTGTCATAGGACAAATCATTCTCTTCAAGCACCTTTTGCTCTTGCTCTTGCTTTTGCTCTAGCTCTTGTTCTTCTTCAACCTCCTTTTCTTCTTCCTTGGGTTCATTTGTTTGGCTCTCTGGCTCGGTTGGGTGGCTGGCAGTGTCTGAAATGGTGGTTGCGTGCTTGGGATCAGAGGATGCAGAAGAATCAGAGAAGGGTTTGGGGTGGCTATTGCTTTTGGGGTGGAAGTTGGAGGAAGCTGCAATGATGACGATGATGAAGTTGACAATGATGTAAAGGAATGGGAGTGTTAGCCGGCTTCTAACTGAGACCCAAAACTGAGGAAGAGTGGAGAGAAGAAGGTGGAATGTGTATGGGACTACTGTCACTTTAAACAAAACAAGAGTGGAGACAACCCCCATGGACATGAGCACAAGCTTTGCAGCCCACATGGCTGTTTCAAATCTGTTTGACTTGAGAGAAGATGGTTTTTGAAAAAGATCCATCGCTGACATGTTGCAGGCAGCACTACTAATAATCACTCTTCACAACAACACGCAGATTCAAAGAAACAAGGCAAAAGAAAGGACCCTTCTGCTTAGAAAAAAAAATGAGAAGAATAAGACCCAGAAACAAAAACTTCTAGGTGGGTGGGGGAATTTACCAACTAGTACATAGACATGAACAAGCACCAGTTCTTCAGAGGAAAAACAAAAGAAAGGAGCTTTTCTGAAACTGAGGTTTGTGTATGGAAACCAAATTCTGAAAGTTTTTCATCACGGAGAGGAAGCAAGATTTGTGGTGAATGACTGCAGATCCTTGAAAGGTGATGAAACAGAAGAGAAAGAAACAGAAAGAAAAAAGAAAAACTGAAGACAATGTATTGAGACGAAGCTGGCCAGAACTTGAGTCCACTCTAGTCTCTAGAGTACAAAGAAAGAAAGAAGGCTTTTAAAGAAAGAGAGCTTTCAAATTTCACTGTTTCAGGTGCTGTAGTTAGCAGCAGAACCAACAAAAATTCCATCAGTACTGGGTAGGCAGGGTGGTCATAGAGTGGTAGAGGACCACATGAATGAACCAAGCTGAGATTTTAAATGAACACCATCTATCTATGAATTCCCAACCATTTTTCATTCCCAACCAAATACACTGTCTGATGAATTCCCCACCGTCAGATTCTTCAAAAACAGTGAAAAGGGTATGAGAAAGATGATAACTTTTGCACTCTCACCTTCACTCATTGCTATATAGGAGGTGCCAGAGATAGAATAGAACCACCTAAACTTTAACTATTGTTTTATGAAAAAAAACAAAATGTTTGGATATATTTTCAGATTTGAAAAGTCAAGAAAAAGTAAAGGGTTGAATTTGGGTGGAAATGGTACATTTAGTATTAGTTAATTAACCATAATTAGGTTAGTTGTTAGCAAGGTTTATTTTATTTTAAGAAATGTAAGCAATATTTGAAGGTAAATTAAGTAATCTGAATTAAAGTGGTAGCTTCCTTGAGCGGCGGTGGCCACAATTTGCGGAGGTGGTGATTACAACTTTTGGCACCACTCAGATAAAGCTCCTCAACTAACCATAACACTACATGCTGCATGTTTACATCACAATTTATTACCTTAATTTTAATCATTATATCTACAATTTCTATAAAATTTAATTGTTACAAAATTAATATAGTTGATATAAAAATTATAGATTAATTATGTGTTTCGTTTTCAAATATTTTTTGAAATTACGTTTTAACTCTAAAGTATTTTTAGAAATAGTATAAATTATAATCTCTAACAAATAATATGTAAATAATTAACATACCAAGTTTCAGTGTGATTATAATATAACATCGAAAATATCATTTATTAAAAAAATTATATTATTTTCATTAAGTAAAACGATGAATGAGTAGGTTTAGGAACCAAACACAATTTTTAAAAGTATTTAGAAAAAACATATTTACTCCAAAAATTAATTATATTATATACTTATTTATGATGATATTAATAATTCTTCAACATGCATTTCTTATATTTATTTCGAAAATTGCTTTATATCCACGTTAAAGTACCGTCTATCTGTGCCAATTTATTGCTAGAAATAGATTGGTTGAATTTTATTATTTTCTAAAAGAATAAAAGTTGAATTGCTTTATCCTAACAATACATTAAAAAAAAATAAAACAGTCAAATCATTCTTAAATTTTGATATTTTAATATGTTTCGTGCAAACGCAATCTTAGCATTCTTATCTTTTGAACTTTTCCAAAAAAGAAATACAATAATAAATATTTGTGAAAAAAACTGTTAGCTAATTATTATTATTATTATTATTATTATTATTATTATTATTATTATTATTATTATTATTATTATTATTATTATTATTATTATTACTTAAACTCAACATTCCACTTGGTAATAATCCTTAACTTGTTCCATTAAGCAATATTTTGAATTTATACCAATAACAAAGCGAAAAATAAAAACTGTCAAATCAGTATCTTTTCAATTGTTGGTTTTGTTTATTTATTTTATTCTTCAAATTGTTGATAGAAAAAGTTTATTTTTTCTTTAAATCACGAGTTCTTATCAGGTAAAAATTATATAAGTATATTCTTAACAACACATTATTTAGTAGAAGAAAAGCACACAAAAAATATCGATAAGAAATCTTGCAATTAATATTATATTTCACCATAAATCATGGAATTAAGTGATTGTCCTTTCACACACATTGAATTATTATGGTTATAACAGAGTCATAAACAGTCATCTATCAACACCATGGATAATATGAAAAATAAATATCTTTTCAAAAAAAGAAAAAAACAACCATAAATATCTTCACTTACTTTGCATGGTCAGATAA